CCAGCCCTGCCTTCAGCAAACAAGGCCTGGGGCAGAATGTGCCTGGGGAGTCCCTCAGAGACTGTTACATTTGCTGCAACTGAAAGGAGGGGAGGTGTGGGGGAATGAAATGCAGTGGGAAAGGCTAGAGGGAGCTGACCTCTTTGCAGTGATCACCACAAGGAGGCACTCTGAACCAAGGTCTGGGGCCCTCCAGAGACTGCTGCATGTGGAGTTGGGCCACTGCCCTGCTGCATACTTTTCCCTTTCTGCTGTGCCCTCCCCCATTCCCTTCAGAGCCAGGCTCCCCCTACTTCCCTGTAGCTCCTGCCATCTGAACAAGGGGAGGGACTGCAGAGAAGGGGCAGGACTGGGGGGTTGTAAGGTGGTTGATCACATGCCTGGAGCTTTGGCTCAGGCTCCTGAGGCTGAAGAAGGATAGATTGACCTCACAGGTATCGGGCTGGGCCAGGACTCCATGCCCCTCTAGCCCATGGAGCACTCTCACAGAGGCTCCCTGGCCTGCAGAAGTTGAATTCAAAGGGATAAACAACAGCAGGTGCTTTCTGTTCCCACTGGAAGTTGCTCTCTTCCCCCACAGAGCCCGTGCTGCCTCTGTACCAGGAAGGGAACTACAGCACAGGATTCCCAGCTCACAGCAGGGCCCCTCACTGGACCTCTAGTGCAGCAAGCGCTTGGCTGAGGTAGTCCATGCAAGTCACTCCTGACCAGCCAACTACTGGAAAGACAAAGAAGTGAGACAGTGATGGCTCTTGACAGGGAGCCCCAAACATTAGAAGAAGCCAGCATCAGAGCTACCACAGCAGGCCAGGCCATGGCTGCTCCCCAGGAGCGTGCAGCCACAAGCATGAACTGCTGAGAAAGGGAGCTCAGGCCCAGTTTTGGGGAAGGAGGCATTCCACCCTCCTACTCCCTCTCCTGGTACATGCCTTAGCCAAGCTTCTGGTCTGCTGGGTAGGGAGTGAATGAGCTGGGAGGTCCCATACACAGGGCTGAGGCCCATGGAGCAATGCTTGTCCTGACTCACCATCCGGCTGAAGTCTCCAGCAAACGTCACCCCTTTGTTCGGCCGCTGATCCTGGGACCCCGTACTGCTGCCACTCAGGGAGTTCCGGCGCATGATCCCTGCCAGGGCCAGATGCAGCTGAGGATGGGTCAGCACCAACAGAGACATAGCAGCAGTAGCTGTTGGGACTGAGCCTTCCTCAGATACAGGGCAGTAGAGCGCATGCTCTTCAGGGTGCTGGTTAAAGCCATGGCCCACAGCTGTTCTCCATGCAACACAGGGCAGAGTCTACCAAAGCACCCAGCTCCATGAGGCTGCCCAAGACTTCCCAGAGGTGTGAGCCCAGTGTTGGGGGGGGTGGGCAGGGTCTTTGGGCACTAGCAAAGAGCTGGTACCTGTGGGCTGCAAGAGTTCCACACGCTGGAGGCTGTTGCGCCTGGATGGGTTGAAGCTGCCTTTGGAGAGGCGGCGCTGGCGGCTAGAGAGCATAGCAGCTGGAGAGACTATGCCTGGGGGTGGCTGCTTTCCCATCCTCAGATACAACTCTTCGATCTCCTTCTTCTGCATGGACTGCAATGTCTGTACTTCCGAGAGGTGCCTGGGGGCAGACAGGCCATAAGGGTAGGAGCAGGGGCTGTGGGTCCCTAGGGACCACGTAGATGTGGGTCTGGACAACTGCCTCTTAGCCCAGTTCCCCATAGAGAACAGAGGGAGGGCCTGGAAGAGTGCAGCAACGGTACCTGCCCACACCACCAGGATACACCTTTTCAGCTCCCCTTGGCCCCACTCACTTCTGTCGTAGATTTTGCAACTCTTCCCAGATCTCCTCATCCTCACTCTCGCTGTCATCGCTGCTCAGGTAGGAGGAGCTGCGTGAGTAGCTGATCCACACCTGGCTCAACACTGCCTGCTGGGGGTTCTCAATGCCCACCTCCTGCTCTTCCACTCCAGGCCCATCGTGGTCACTCTCTGCTGGTGCCACTGGTGTCCCCTCCTCAGCCAGCAGTTCATCTGGGTCCTGTACTGCAGTCTCAGGGACGGAGTCAGAGTCATAGCTGGTGCTCTCCTGTCCATCAGGGGAGCTGGGTACCACAGGCTGGGGGGAGTTGGTGGCTGCTCCAGGCTCCCAAGGCTCTTGCCCACTCTGCTCACTGTCACTCTGGCTCTGTTGATCTGGGGGCCTGTCAGCTGGGTCCTGGGACCGGGTCACCTGGAAGCGGCCCAGAACCTGGGGTCTGGCCTCTGACAGTGAGCAGGGAGAAGTGTGAACAAGAGATGGGCTCTGCCTGAGCACAGGTGGGAGCCCTGGCTCAGCAAAGTCCAAGATGCACCCCCTAAGCACTGGTACCCAACCCATAGAAGAGCAGGCTGCCTAAGCACACCTGCAGCAGCATGGGAAGCTGCTTGGTGGTCCCTCCATGGAGCAGATACCACTTCTGAGACCCTCCAACCCCCCCCAGGGTCAGGCTGCCCCCACACTTGTATGCTGCACCTCAGCCAAGCAGCAGCAGCATCCCTGCTCCACGTTCCCCACCCATCAGTCTCCTTGCCTGCTCAGCACCTCACCTTCATTAATGGGCGACAGCCGAGTCCTGGGCATGCTGGGCGCAGGTGACTCCGAGACGATCAGGTGGTGACTGGGTTTGGGGGAGCTGAGTGGCACCTGGAAGACAAGGCCACAGGCAGCATCAGCAAGTGCCAAGCCACTCTCAGCCCCTACCCTGCACAAGATGCCAACAGGATGCCTCCGTGCTGGCTAATGCCTAGCAGCAGGTGGTTCTGCACCGAGCTGCAGGTACTAGCTCAGGCCCTCAGACTCTAAAGAGATTGCCACAGGCCTAGCTGCCCATCAAGACTTCAAGCCAACCTAGACTGGCTCACCCCAAGGGCAGTGCTTCATCCCTGCAGCTCCACAGCTAGTTCAGTGCACTGGCAGAAACTGCCCTAGGACCATCCCACCATCTCAGTGCTGGAGCACCACAGCCAGGCCCCTCCACGTGACCCTACCAGCCAGCAAACACGGGGGGAAGCAGGGAGGAAGGAGGATGGGGGTGGTACTAACTCAGCAGAGGGGGCTTCCTTGCTATTCGTAAGAGGTCAATATGTCCTGACAGTGCTCCCCAATGCCCAGGTTCTTCCCAGGGGTCTGACCAGGCCCCTCCTGCAGCTGCTTGATACTTGGTACAGAGGCAATGCCAAGTCAACCAAATTCTCCAACCCCTCAGGGGAAGAATGGGATCTGGTCCAAGCACACAGCATCCAGCTCAGCCTGTCTGCCAAGCCCAGACCCCAGCAATAGGCTCTGGGGGCACAGGGAATCTCCACAACCCAGGCAGGGCATGGGGAGCAAAAGAAGCACCTGCTTACCACGCTGCTGTCCAGCCTCTCCACAGCACTCTGTGTTGATAGCGGGTTCTCTGTGGCTTCACAGTTTCCAGGGTCCTGCAAGACTGGAGCAGGCACTGGGGCCAAGAGGGGATATGGAACCAAGGCAGCAGTACTGGCCTCATCCAGTTCCCCAGTCCCATTGCAGAGCACAGCTGGCTCTACCAGGGCTGAAGAGTCAGGGTAGACAAAGTGCGTTGCTCCTGGGTACAGCGCCTGTGGCTGAGAGATTTGTGGCGAGTAGACATGCCCACCTGGGCTGGGGGGTGAGGAGACAGCTGGCAGCAGTGTCTGGGCCACAGTCATCACTGCCAAAGAGAACATGTTGGCCAGCGACAGCAAAGGGGCAGCTGGAGACCAGTGGGGCATGGCTGGTGTGGCACTGGTCACAGATGGGCTCAGGGGTTCTGGGATGCTCAGCCCTCCTGGAGGCAGCAAGGTGGATGGCTGGGTTGGGGGAGACTGTGTCAGTGCAGGTGGGAAGCCCCCAGTTTTGGGACTGGGAACAGTCTGTGGGAACTGGGAGATGGGTAGCTGGCCTGAGGCCAGGCCAGGTGCTGTTAGGGACGGCCAGCTCTGCACAGCTGCACTAGGGGAACCTGTGGAGGGAGAAAACAGTGAGAATGGCCTTGGGGGGAAACAGAAAGACACAGTTCCCACTGGTGCAATTCCCTCTTCCAAAACTCAAACTCTCTTTCTGCTCAGAGAGACTGCTGCCCCAGTACCTGCAGATGTTCCTGGCAGTGCAGACCACAGCATGTTGGGCTGGGTCCCTGGCAAGGGGTCTGCAGGGCTGAAGATGTCATTCTCTGATGGGGAGCTGCTCAGTGAAGGCTGGATCAGAGACTGCATTGACTGGCTAGGGCTGGTGTAGCCCAGATCTGGGACAGAGAGTAAGAGTCATCCCTGGTACCATGCACAGCCACAGCCCCTCCTACCGGGCCCAACTTACACTGCCACTCTGACAGCAAAGGCCCATGCCTGCATCTCCTTCTGGCAGGCACAGCCATGCATTTACTGCTTCTTGGGCTCCCAAAAACCCAGATGCCCTCCCATCTTCTCACTGCAAGACATCCATTACTATGTTGCCAGCAGGCAGCACAGAGCATCCTGACCCACTCCAGAAGATAGTGTGTCACAGACAGAGAAGGCAGGCAGTCACTGGTGTGGACACAACCTCTAAGTGGGAGATGTGGAGATAGGGGTGTCACAGTGCCATGCTAACACAAAGCTTGGCAGGACAGATACATACCACTTAGCGAGGATGATGAAGAGACGGAGCGGGAAAGTTCCTGCAGCTGTAGCTCTGCCTGCTGACAAAAGACAGAGACTGAGCCAGAGCAAGGGGTGGCATCTGGCTCTAGAGATGCAGTGCATTCACTCTCAGGCCCCCAGTGCAACCCATTACAGGCACCCATGAATATGTGCAAGACCAACCTGTTGCACCCACCAATCAGCAGGAACCAGGCCTGCAGGGTCAGATGGCAGAGGCCAAGTTCCACTTAGCCTGGGGAAGGGAGATGCCCAGGAAAGACTTGTGGAAGCTGGCTGCTGGGGCTCCCCCCTTGGCAGATCAAGGTGGCATCAATGAGACTGTGGTAGGAATCAGGGAAGCCAGGATTTGTTCTTCATAGAGAGCTGCTCCCTCTCCCTCCTCCACGTCACACAAGATGGGCAGCTGCCCACTGGGGGAAGAGGGAAGGGAATAGCTTTGGCAGAAGGGGATGAAGGGTACTTACTGGGCAGCTGGCAGCTGCAGCTGCCACAGGTGATGGACTCTCAGCCTCGGGGCTCCCAGCTGCCTCCAAGCTAGTGCTGTGCACATCCTTGCGCAGCAGGGTCTCTACGCGGTGGATGATGTCCCGGATGCGGTGAATGAAGCCTTCCTGCTCTGACTTGAGGATGAACTCATTGTTGACCTGCAGGAGTCGAGGAGGAAGATCATCACTGGGAGAAGCAACCTGGGGCCCTGTTCCCCCAGCCCCAAGAGCAACACTGCACACTCACCATGACGGCAGCTATCTCCTCAGGGTTGTCACCATCCAGATCAAACTTGAAGGTTACCATCTTGTTGTTGTAAGTCTGCAACTGGCATTCCACCACCCGGTCACTCTTGTCAGAGATCTGCAGGGCAGGGGCAGGGGAGGGTTAACTCATGCAGGGAAGGCTGCTGTATGCCACATAATGGCCCCTTCCATCCCTGGACAGCAGAAGGAACTCACCTTGGGGGAGAGCAAATTGGGGGAGCCAGGGCTTATTGTCCTAGCCCTCCCTCCTCCCCCTTAGCTGGCAGGCAGCACACCCAATCCCACACCCACCTGCTACACTTACATTTGTGATGCGCAGCCTGGACCTGGCTCGACGCCGCAGCAGCTTTCCTGATGGCCGCTTGGCAGGCAGCTTGGTACTCCGCTCACTGGCTGACAGCCCCTCACACCCATCGCTCAGGCCAGATGCCACATCAGATGCATAGCTGTGGCAGAGGCCCCAGTATCAGGCTGCATACAGTTCACATCCTGTCCTAAGATCCTTATCAACTGCACCCTGCTGTCCCACTGGACCCTGAGCCTCTCGGCCCCGAATTCTCCTGCTTTATGACAAGACCTACACAGTCCTAATCTACACCATCTTCCCAGCTCCCATTCCTCTGTGATCAGAGCTAGCTCACTCCAGGTGCTACCCTGCCCAGGTGAGATGCTGCTCAGCCTCTCATGCTGGGGGGCTCACATGGTTCCAGCATGCTTTGCCCCCACATGAGGATACGGTCCAGTCATACCTGTCCACAGGGGAGGAGAACTCGCTGGCTGGTGCAGAAGGAAGGCGCTCAGAGGACATGCTCACTGCAATGCTCTGCAGGGGGTGGGAAGACTAAAGTGAGGGGGCAGCACAACTACCCACCACCCCTCCCCCACATCTACATCCCCCACAGCAGAGCCGCCTGCTACCCTCTCTGCCCCAGCCCAGCCCAAGGCCCTGCTCACCGAGGGGAAGCAGCAGTCTAGTGGAGCAGCAGGTGGACTGAAGGGTTCCCCTGCAGAGAAACTGCGATGGGACAGGTTGGGGGAGTCCATGAACCCTGAGGAGCTCAGGTAACCATCTGTCTCACAGTCAGCTGCAGAGGACAAAGTGGAGTCAGAAGGCTGGCCCTGGGGCCAGCCATGCAGAACTCCTGGCTTCCAGTTTGCTGTGGAGAAACTGCTTTCTGCCCAGGCTCTAGGAACAAGGGCTGGTTGGGCTCTCCCCTACCCTACCCCACCGATTCCACACATGGGAACTGCCATTTTTCAGAAGCAGGGAGAGACCAGGCAGCAACTGCCTAGAGAAAACAGTCACCAGAGCAACCAGCTGGCACATTTAGGGCTCTGAGCAATGTCAGCTAGATGCCAATACACTCACCGTGGAGAAGCAGGGCACTGCCCCACCCCCCATGAACCCCATCTCTGTGGCTGGCCAGTGTAAGGCAGATCCCCCTCCTTCCCACCCCCAAAAATGCTGGGCCACACCCCCACAAGCAGGAGCCAGGCACTGTCAACATACAGGTAGCAGAAGAGTAGCTGGTATGCCGGTACAGGAAGTGCTGGTGCTGGTCGGCTTCAGGTTCCTCAGGCTCCGGGGGGAAAGTACCGTTGAGCATGGAGTCCCCAGAGCCAGGTGTAGTTGGAGAGGGTGCAGGGGTCCCCGGTGCCAGAGGGGACTTCAACTCCTCCAGCAGCTGCAGGATGCCCTGCTGCTTCTCCTGTTCCTTGCGCTGCAGCTCATCTTGTGCCTGCTTCAGCTTCTCCCGCTTGCGCTTGATGGCCACCACACGGTCCCGCACTGCCTTGGCTACCAGCTTGTAGTCTGCTTCACACACAAAGCCCAGGGTTACCTGTAGAGGCACAGACCAGCAGCATTAGGTAGCGCAGCCCTGCCCTACACTGCCTGGGCCACAGCCTTTCCAGCCTTAGGCTGCAGGCTGGTAGAATAGTTGGGCAACTAAGAAAAGATGGGAACCAGGCACAGGGGAGATTGTGGGCCTTAGAGGCCCCAAGAGGGATATTTATAGGGGAGAGGGGGAAGGAGAGGAAGGTGAGAGTGGTGCTGCTACCCAATCCTCACTCTTGCACCTACCATCTCCTGGGCCACCTCCTCAGCCACGTCCTTGTAGAGCTCAAAGAGGAACTCAATGGCATTGTTGTCCTTGTACTTGCCATGAAGCTTCTTGGTGTCGTCCATGCGCAGCCAGAGCTTGAGGCCAGACTTGATGCCATCATCCTCCTCAGCCAGCTCGACATGCACTCCTGTGTCCTCCTGGAAGAAGGAATGCTCCAGCAGGTCCTGAATAGTGTACCTGCCAGAAACATAGTGGGCTTGGCATGGGGAGGCAGGCCATCTGGCACAGTTAGGGGGAACTGTAGGGAAAGGGCTGCCTGACAGGAAAGCTCCACTTGGATGTGCAAAGCTCAGCTGGCTGCAAACAAAGATGCCATCTCCACTCACAGCAGCACCGAGGCCAGGCACTATACAGACCCACAGCAGGGCTGGGGCTGAGACAGAGCCCAAAACCCCAGCCACCCCTTATCTGTCTCAAGGACCCATGGTCCAGGCTGCCTAGGGCCTGCACAGCAGCCCCATGTGCTCACCTCTCATTCTTGTTCATGCGGATGCAGCCCTCTATGATCTCCTTCAGCTCTGGCACTTTCACTTTATAGAAGCTGTTGGGTTTCAGGCCCTGTGGAAGAGCAGTCACCCTCAGTCCAGCAGGTCCCTTCCTGCAAGGGCCACCCACAGCTCAAAGGATTGCTTAGTGGTACAGGGCT